ATTAAGTGTATATCAATTTATTATTTTCTATCAAGTAAAGTGTTGTAAATCAATTCAATTCACAAAAATATCGCGGGAGATTTAGTAGATACGAGGTTCGGGCTGGCGGCGACGGCCCATCGTGAAAATATGAAAATTGGGAAGCTCGCTTGCTGCTCGATACCATGTCAAATAAATATCGACCCTATTTGTGTGCTAACCTCAATATCCGGCTGCTACTTGTTCTTGTACCACCATCTGATTGTAACGAAAGGACGAAAATACTACTATTGTATTTTGTACGTGTAGCAGACCCAGAATTTGTTGACTTCATATATGTTTAGCAGTATTACATTTTACGGACGAATTCAATTTATTTTGCTATCGATTGATGAATAAGTGTTTTTATTGTCTAGTACTTACTTTTCTTTTAAGAATACTGTGGAAATGAATACCATTATTATCTTATCTTATCAGCAATAAACTATTTTTCTCGAATTGGTTACTTAAATTACGTGTATGATGTATCATCACCAACTTCTACAAGAATCGATCTTGACATCAATGCAGAAGTGTTCTATATGAATAAACTGTTTAGATTACATAATGATATCTGACTTTTTTTTTGCATAAACCTCTTTTGTTAGTGTATTTGTAACACTAGCAAAAGAGGTTTATGCAAAAAAAAAACTAGGATTGCTAACATTTTTTTTAAGACAAGCGGAAATATGTAGATGATATGATGATTAATGTAGTGATGTATATTTATAAGACTTATTTATAATATCTAGAACTGTACCTACAGCCCATTCCATTTATATTGGTATTTTCTTAATCAACAATGTCAGTTTGTTAGCTATATAACCCGTAATCGATGGTATCTACTAACATATACCTTTTGTACAAGTGACCTAGTTAGGATAAGTGGGGTTACAGTGGTAGTAGGGTTTGTCTATCCGAGTTAATGTGGAGCTATACGTTAAACAATTACAAGCTACATTCATTTAATTAGATTCAAATTCCAAATATTAATTTCTGCTTAATTTTGTCCATTGTTTATTATATGTATTCAGAGAATGGTATAAATGAATGTTTGGAATGCCAGATAAAATATATTGAAAATGTCGTAATAATTAAATTGTTATTAATCTGCGTTGACAAACTATACCGGATTTGCTCTTTACATACTTACCTATGGTAAAATAAAGCGTTCGTTTTGTACTAAAATAGGTTTATCTATAACATTTCTAAAATGATGTAAAAATATGTATGTACGTACATATATATTTGGGATATGTTATATCAATAACTAAACAAATATAAAAAATATAAACGAAACAAAATTATACAAATTAAAAGTTAACAAGAAGCTTGAAAAAATACCTGTAGTGTCATGAGGATAATAATTTTAGTTTATAAAATATTTGCACATTTACTGTTTCATGTTCATGAAAAATTGTTCAAACTTACAGTTACTTGATATAATTATTAATTATAATAAATCTTTTATCGTTTGTATTAATTTTAAAATTCTGTTTATGGATCTTCTTGTGTCGTTTGGCGAATGTGTAAAGTTTAAATCCGTGAACTTAGATTTACGTGTGACATCATTTCGTTGTACCGAGAGTTCGTCGTATGAGAGTGCGACTCAAACAGACTCGAACTCAATAGGTATTGCAGTTAGAATGGAATTTGCCTCGACGTCAAGATGTCAAGAGTGAACGAACATACATTTGATGTCATTTAACTTTACGTGATGGACACGTACACATTCTGATAATATTAATATGTTTGTATTAGTTGTCAAGTTGTTTATTCAAAAGGCAAATAAATTTGATTATTTTCAATTGTTATGAAATATTTTTGTTTTATTACTGCTTTTAAAACTTTATGAATAGAAATACAAATTATCTTTATTGAAATAAACTTAATATAAGCACTTTTGATTAGTCATATTTTTTTATTCTATTACTTACTCGGGACGCAAACTCATCAAAATAAGAAAACATCAAAAGAAGAAAACGGCCTTGTAAGAAACATGCGTATTCCTCTTTTAAATAAAGGTAATAATAGATTTTAGAAGGTTTATGTTTGAATATGGAGTAGAACTAAATGTTTGTAGTCGGTTTTAATGTTCTACTATTATTAATTTTATTTATAGTATATACTTACAATAAAATACCTACAAATTCTTAATTTCGATTATTTTATACATACAGAAAGACAGAAACCTTACAGAAAAGTAATACAAAGTCACAACTTTACATTGAATTTGAATGGGATAGCACGTATATGTCAAAAGTTTGGTGCCATAACTATCGAAGGGAATTGTTTAGCCCTGCGAAGAAAGTAAGATTGAACAGAAGCTCGGTAAAGTCCAAATGTCTACACATTGGATCAAGAAGTCGTGGAATAAAAGAAAATGTAAAAATGGAAATGTAAGAGAGAGAATCGATTTAAATATTTAAAAAATGCATTCAATCTAAAATTGAAACACTTTATTACTTTCAAAATAATAATGTACTGATCGATGTAAAACATCAATTTTGGATATATATTCATAATGAAAATTGTTTAATGGTCACACCATTAATTAAAGAACAATCATGTATCAACATTTTCCTGAAATGAAATGAAAATTGATACTGCTGTATAAATATAGTCTATACATACAATAAATGGTATCGTTATATCTGTTAATCGTTAGTTGTACAAGTAAATATATATAAGTATAGTACATTATTTTTCATAATTAGATTATTATATGTATATACTCTATCAGTAGATAAACGACCCAAAACCTGGTAACATTTATTGTTATTATTTATCCACAGAACATTAGCCAAAATGTAGCGTTTATCATAATACTATTTAGTCAATAATTTCTTATGATAACTAAAATGAACCAAAAATATTGTACGAGTATATTTTCATTGGAACCAAAAAGTAAAAAAAAATATCACGTTTAGGGACACTAATTCAAATATACTTTTACATTTAAACTTCCACAATCATGGTTACTGGTGTCATATCCTCGACTTACGAAACTTTTATAAAAAATATTGATTTTATTTATTACTAGCTGGCCAGCGACTTCGTTTGCATGGAATTTAACTATATTTTTCTAAAATAAAAGTAGCCTAAAAGAGTAACTCTCATTATTACATCAGCTACCTGCCAAAAAAATCACGTCAAATTTGGTCCAGCCATTTCAGAGATTAGCTGGAACAAACAGACAGACAAAAATTGTAAAAAATGTTATTTTGGTGTATGTAACGTTTTTACCTATATATAACTCAAAGCTGACTGTCAACTATCAACATAGTGATTTATCAACGCACAGCCCAAACCACTGGACGTATTTTGGCATGCAGGTAGATGTTATGACGTCTAAGAAAGGATTTTGATTAATACTACATAAATATAAAAATAAAATAGGGGATGAATGTTTATATGAAACTTCGTCAATTTTAAACCGATCGGGCTGAGACTTTGCATGCATAAATCTACTATGACGTAGGCATCCGCTAAGAATGGATTTTGATAAATTCCACCCTAAGGGGATAAATAACGCGAACGAAGCCGCGGGCAAAAGCTAGGATACATATATGCATGTAGTAAAAAACGGTTATTTCAATATTACAAACAGACACTCCAATTTTATTTATATGTATAGACATGGAATAGTTACAGCTGTAATTATTATAATATTTTTATTGGTAATTTTTAAAATCAATTTCAACTAAATATTAACAATTACGTACCTTTTTTATAAAAATATACAGAAATATTAAAATACAGTAATTAGACATACAAACTGAACGTTAGAGGTGGACGTCAACTAAAATTAAAATAATAAATGCCTATATCAACTAATAGCAACCAAGGCAGATACAGACACATATGCACACATTATATAAGTAGATATAATCCGATTTTCTGTTAGTTGTTTAAAACTGAAGTTTACAATGTACATTTACTGGAAACAGAAACTTGGCTTCTATATGAAGTAAAAATATATCGTCTTATTTAAGAACGTTTGTTTAGATTCTACAAAAAGATCAAAGTAAGTCAGAAATGATGTTATTACACGTACTTAAAAAATATTATTTTTAAAATTATATAATATTTTAAAGTATAACGGTGAGCAAAAATTAATGAAATAGTATAGTCCAGTAGTAGTTTTATCGGATTAAGGCATGATACAAATTCTAGTACAAAGTTACAATGATGGTTTCGCTCACTATCGCTGCAATTTACATGCTGGTATAATTTGTTGGCTTCTAACCGCAGCAGATTCAATTTCCCTGCAATAGCCGCATTGCATCCACGACTCATATCCAAATCACTTTGATGTTTGGAATCTCGCACCTATATTATGAGATAGCAACAGGATTCCAACTTAATCCTGGTATTAATAATATGCAGCAGAAGAAAATGTACATTACCTTTTTCGTACAGTTTCAGAACTTGACCGACGTATTGGAGCAACAGTGGAAGTTATACAGACTTTATTAATCGAGCGAAGAATCGAAATCTGCCAACTATAATCCTATAGAACTTATTCAGCCAGCTTGAGCCCGTCGTACTGGCTCAGTTTGTGTTTCGTAAACTGTCTCGGGATTAAAACGTTTAAAATCCGTTCGGAAGACATGCTGCAATTTGAGAAAGCTTGTGGTATTTTTGACGTAAAATAAATAGCTAATTCAAATATTTACTTTATACTTTATAAAAGAATAAAAGCTATTATTTTTATGTAATAATTCAGTAATATAATAATTTCTATTCTATCTTTCTTAAATTATATTTCGAATTACTAATTGCAATTTGAAAGAAAGAAACGGATAATATTTCTGGCGACTATTTATTTATTTGATATTACCGATTATACAATTTTATTGAAAATGTAACTAAAAAATAAAAGAGAATAAAAACAAAAAAGAGTTTTAATATAACGTGGATTATTAGGTAGGTACATATGAATTTGTATTTATAATTTTTCATTAAAATCAGATCAAATCTCAATCAAAGTAATCAAAATGATGTAACTCATGATGAAAATAAGATGGGTTCCTAGGTTTCCCATATGTTTTGATAAGTTGTCTCGGTAAATTTGGTAAATGTCCATACTGATCGTTGTACGAGTAATAATTTAATTTCTTATGGTTGAGAATTATTGGGTCTAGTTGATAGATGTGCTTCATATTATTTTGTACAACTTTCCTTTCGGTTAAGTTGTCAACTTCAGATAGACTGTGGTTTATTAGAAGGTCACTGTTGTGTGCTCTTTTCAAAAAAATGGGTAGTTTGGTGTTAATGTTTTTCTCATTCCTTATTGGTATTAATATATTTTTCCCTGGTTCATTTCTAAATTTTACTCTTAAATTCTGGCCTTTTATATTGGATATATTCGGAGTACCATGATGCAACATAGGTACGTATTGGGTTTTATTAGAGTAGTCCGATTTAGGCTTTGCAACATATTTTATAGGTTTATTTGATTTTCTAACGCCTCTTGGAAATAGATTTCTATTCAAGTTAATATTACTAGTTATGTTATTATTTAATTCATATTTTTTGTATTGAACATGTGATTGTGCTCTCTTCATCATACTAATAACATTTTCTAGTTCTTGTAAACTTAGAGACGATGTTGTAGTAGCTGCTACGACTTGGTTTTCTAAATTATACAAATTTTCATTGCCGTCGCCGTTGTAGTCAGACTTATTTGCATTTGGATGTAAATTTATATAGAGAGATCTAATAGATCTTTCCCAATAAGATCGAGGTGCGTAGCGATTTTCATTAAAAACTGTATCTTTCTGATTATTATGGTTTTCTTGTTTAATTTCTATATTTATTTGGCGCTCACCTTTATTATCTAATTTTCTTATCAAAGACGCGATTTGTCTACCTAGGTTTGAATAATATGAATCGTCAGTTTTGGATAAGTACCGACGAGGCTCAGGCGTCACTTCAGGATAAATTAGTTGAGCTATGGGTGCTTTGTATGTATTAAGATTTACTCTTCTATAATTTGGAATTTTTTGGTATTTTACGGGTTTGTAAAACTCCAACATATTCTTCGAGGTATTTTCTTGATATTGATTTTCATTTCTTGTTTTATTTTTATTAAAATCTACCCTATGTATAAGTTGGGTTAAATATTTGAAATCTACATCTTCAATTTTAGGGACATCATCTGCCCTAGATTTTATTTCATTATAAGAAAAAGGCTCTTCCAGAAAACTGTCGTCTTCTGCTTGTAAGTTTTCTTCTCGATATGTATCTGTGATTTGGTTAAGTGGTATTTTGTTACGTCTTTTCATTTTTTCTCGTATTTTTTTCAACTGTAAACAGAAAATTGACTCTATACACATATATATATATATATATATATATATATATGTAACAATAATAATAATTATATATCCAATTATAACATTATTACTTCCGGATTTGTTTTATCGTATAGAATATGGTTGAGCTTCGTGAACGCAGAGACTACAGAATATTATTTGTTTTTATTCCAATATAATAACATAGATTGTATTATACAGGCTAGGCTATAATCTATATGGGCACTTCAAAATTAATATTAAATAATGTTTTCAATTATGTGAAGGTGACCGGTGTATAAATATTAACGCCTTAAGTTATAATATAAAGAAAAAGATGAATTGACTTGATGAGATTTTTTAACGAATTTATACCGGATGCATACAATATGATTATAGTATACTACTAATAAAGCAAAAACAGCCACGGCCATTATAATCTTTGAACTCCATAATGGGTATCGTAATACAATTTGTTTGCTTGTTAAGGAAATGAGCGGTCAGTTTGTATATATAGGATAAAAATCATACTTACGAATTCTTTACGTCGGTGAAGATTTTCTTTGTTACTTCTTTCTGAATTTTCACTGAAATAAGATTTTTTATTATATTTTTATCAATTACAGATATAATTTATTAAATACATATAATATTTCTTACGGTGCTGGTTGAGTGAATTCTGTGGAAGCAGTTGTATGCGAAGAAGTTCTTGTAGTAGTAGAAGTTTCGCCGTTTGTATTTGGCGTAGTCTGTTCTGTTTTAGAGATTTTTTCAACTTCAGGCTTTGGAAATCCTATAAAGTTATAATTTTTTTATGATACCTATAGAATAATTAATTCAGAAAACGCAAGTAGTCATTTATTAAAGTAAAAGACGGCAATCATTTTGTAAGTTCAAGAAAAACACATCAAGAACACAAACAAAGAAGAGTTATTTCTTCTTTATAAAGGATGAACCAGAAAAAAAAACCGTGATGTGTTTATTTTTAGTTTACATTTTATTTTGTATGTAATATTAGAGATAAATTTACTGATCACTCAGTAATCGACCATAAATAATTAAAATTGTAAGTTTGAACATTGTTAAGGTTCTATTTTGAAAGACTTATACTTCTATAATTATAGTTAACTATATATTGTTATCTATGACAAAAGAGTAAATATATGCATGTATTTTTTTATAACACAGGGGTACACATACTGTTATACACATATAACACAAACGAGTATGCGGCTCACCTGATGGTAAGTGACTACCGCCGCCCGCAACACCAGGGAAACTGCAAGTACGTTGTCGGCCTTTTAAAAAGGAATAAGCTCTTTTCTTGAAGGTTTTAATATCGTATCGGATCGGAAATACCATTGCTGGAAGGTGATTCCACAATGTGGTTGTACATGGCAAAAAGTTTCTAGAAAACTGCACTGTGGAGGACCGCCATTCATCCAGATGATCAGGGTGGTATTTTAGTTTCTGGCAGGTGGTACGGTGGTGAAACTCAGCAGTTGGTATTAATCCGAACAATTCCTCAGAACACTCCCTATGATATATGCGGTAGAAAATGCACAGAGATGCAATATCTCGCCGCAAAGCCAATGGGTCGAGTCTGTCACATAGACGTTGATTACATTATGATAATTCTGGCTGCTCGGTTCTGAATGCGGTTAAAGGGAAGTAGCCGGTACTGTGGTACTCCCGCCCAGAGATGAGAACAGTATTCCATATGCGGCCGAATCTACGCCTTGTATAATTGCAAGCAATGGGCCGCCGCCCCGCCGTGAAATACCGTCCCACTCTACTGAGTACATCAAGCTTTTTTGAGGCTATTTTAGCCTTTTCCTCCAAATGACCGCAAAACTGAACGTCACTGGATATATCAACGCCAAAGACCTCGAGATTTGGCTTCACATCAAGGAGAGTGTCTTGAAACTGAGGAGATACGATAAATGGATTCTTTTTAGCGCAAACTTATGTCTTATACATGGTATTTTGTGTAATATTTTGTATGCATAATTAAAAAAAATATTAACATTCTGCACTGCTTCTATATGTATATAAACTATTTTATTACTTATCCGTCCGCGCAACTTTCGTAAATAGGGATACAAATTATTTTCTTCACATATTAATATAATTATTTCTAACTTGTTATCATGACAAACTCTTTGCATAAAAATATAAGTTCAAAATATAAAAATCCATAAGTTATTAAGTAATAAATATTGACTTTAAAAGTATAACACAATTTAGAATTCAAATATTAGTGATTCTTAGGCACTAACCTGTGTATGGAGGACTCATTGGTGGTACTGGAACCATTGGATACATAGGAATAATAGGTGGAGGAGGTAATCCAATAGGTGGGTAAAATGGTGTGTCCATGTTTGGCAAAAAAATAAATGAAGGCAAAGGTGGTGTGGGCTTCTTGTTTATCATGACAATTTTTCTATGGCCATGTTCTTCATCACTTTCGCTTTCATAGGAACTACTGTCGCTGTAACTTGAACTTAAGTCTTCTGCACTTGAACTAGAATGGAATAAACTATCGTCCTCAGTAATCCGTAACAGCTTTTTCCTTAGACCTTTTTTAGATTTTCTTTTTCTTTTCAATGATTTCTTTCCAAATTTTCTTACTTTCCGCTTTGAAACACGATTAGAATGGCTATTGCCACTTCTTCTAGTCAATGGCTCGCTTTCAGATTTGTTGATGACTTGATTTTCAATAGTTTTGAAGAATTGATTGTACAACCAATCACCGAGGTCGTCAGCATCTTTGGTTATAGCGTCAACTTTGTCATTTAATTCTTTATTGGTTGTAGGTGTTGGATCATTTGCATTAGGTGTCGTAAACTCGAGTGCTGGAATTCGAGTGGGTTCTGACATGTAGATGCGTCTGAAGTTTTTAGTTAATTTGACGCTGAAATTTTCATTATGTATTAGAAATACGTGACAAGTATAATTAATTATTATTTACTACCTTCTTTGTTAAATACTACGTTTAACAAATATATAAATTTCAACACATACAATACACATGTACAGTTTTCGATATTGATGTCTTCTATATTGTCTAACTGTACTACAATTGGCTTTATTGTTAATAATCTTCTCTGCTTACGCAATAAAAGGATTTTTTCCCTATGTTTTTACACATTAAGTTAGGTATATCAGAGTTTTTGAAAATATTTTATGGCCTATGTACATCAGTTAAAAGAACTCATCAAATACATTCACTAGTTTTGGAGCCTCTTCAATGCAAACAAGCAATCAAATCTTTCATTTTTATAATATTAGTATTTATATATAGACGACCTCGGTGGTCTAGCGGTCTAGCACACCGCTTTACGTCCGACTGTCGCGGGTTCAAATCCTCGCATGGCTCAAACATTTGTATTCATGAGTATGAACGAATGAACAAACAATTACTTACTTTGGCTCACATACTTTTGTTTCGGTATCGAAATAATAACCAGGATGACAGTGGCAACCGACCACACATCCTGGGATTCCATCGATACAATACTCAAATCTTCCATGTGGACCACATTCTGTTGTGAAATAGCAATTTTTAATTTATAAGAAAACTTTATATCTGGGGAATAATAAAAATAAGCAATAAACTTATAATTACTGTAAAAATTGCTATTTTGATTAAAATGATTATGAGTTACAAAATTGAAATCATATAACTGTTGTAGGTAATAGTGAAAATCACAAGCCGCATTGAATATGCCAACAATGAAGATTAAGATTAATTATAATACCGTATTGAGTCTCTATTCCTTTACACGTGGAAATAAATAAACTGCATAGGGAGAAAACAACAATAATCCAGAAAATAATTGTTTTCATGGTTCCACTACATGCATCACACTGTATTAGTTATTTTAGGGTGTATCAACACAGTGCTACAATAGAGTTCTAAATTATCATTATCACAGCTGAAAATTACACAATTAAGACTGTACTAGGAAAATCAATTATCACCTGCATAAGCACAGTTTTAATAACTGAACGAAACAATGGATTGGGTTTATGCTTTATTAGAAATGAACAATGCGTGTACTTTACAATGCATGCACATGAAAAATAGGTTTAATGGAAAATAATAGAAATATGCGACAGTTTCTATATATATATATATATATATATATATATATATATATATATAGGTAGATTGACAATATGCTGAGTGCAATTTAAAAAATATAAATTGGATAAACCCTCTAGTTTAGGAAGAAATTGTATAATTATGAAAAGTTACTTACTGAGTACTCCTTTGTGAAAATAATATAGATATAGACAGATTAATAATGCTCGTTGTAGTGCATATTTAGTTAGTTTTGTTATATTACCATATGGTTATTTTTGTTTTATTCGTTGTTATTGTTATTATCTTGGCTTAAATTAATAATATTTATGTATGTATGTATTACAAGTATGTATATATTTTATGTTTTTAACCTAAAATCACTAGCATAATTTCACCTTGTCCTACGTATATAGTTTCTATATATGTACTATTACCTCAAAAAGATTTTAAATGTTTGGTATAGTGAGTATGGAATACGTGTGGCAACTATAACAGATTTGGTTTTTGTTAAGCATAATTTTACAGTCAATTAGTTTATTTTATTACTTGAAGTATTTCCTTTTACTACTTAAGTTGGGGTAGCTGTATATTTAAGTATAACAACGTATATATTATTCAATATTTTAATTATTTATAGGAGCAAACATTCATAAATTTATTTCAGTAAGTTTCATCAGATGACCACAATTAACCCATATTTAATTGTCAGAAATCTAATACGATTATGTACAACATATAATAACTAAAATATCTTCTTAAGTATTGTTGCTCACAGGATTTGTTCTTTATAGTTCACGTTTCATCTCCAAGGTCAGGAATGCCTTTTAGTCCTCTGCAATACAATTGTAATATAAAAATTGATACATATACATTGGTAGCTGTACCTACATATCGAATCTATAAAAAGTAATCTTTATTGTATCTATATATATTTAACATGGATCTGTGAAAATATGCTTAACATTTTAATAAATTAACATTATTGTAACAATTCATATGTAGGTAAAGGAGATTTTTATTGGTTTTAAATTTTTATTTTATTCTTAGGTTTTTTATATCATAATATGTTACTGCTAGTCCCATAGTATCTTAATACTAATCTTTTGAATCTACTAGTTTTCAAAATTTATGTTACCATAACATTTCACTCATCTATAATTTCATGGCAGGTTTCTTATGGAATATATTGAACCATAATAAAGAGGTTCTCTGCTATACAGTATCTCTTAATAGTCGAATAGTTAATAGTTCTTATTATACATCAATGAAAGTTATTTTCATTTACAAATTTTAATAGAAGAACTGTAAAATCTATTGACTAATAAGAATAAAAGCAACAAATTCCTTACCTGCTACAGTCATCGGGTAAAACACATTTATGCGTTCGATCATCTCGTATGTATGGAGACACACAAATGCAGCCAGCCTCGCAAAATGGATAACATGGCCGTAACCTATCGCGTGGATTGTCACATGTGATTGCTGCACACCCCGCGAAACAATTTTCATATCTGAATTTAAAGAGTAGTATTTAAGATTGCCTGTTTTTATTTTAGACTCAAATTGATTATTATTGCTTACTTTTCATGTGGCCTTTCACAGTTTATGGAACTAATAATATTCTTTTCATCTGTATCTTTTTTCCTGAAAAATAAAATATGATTCGATTTATTTACTCTTGTAAAGAACATAAAAATTAAAACGAGGAAAATTTCAATTACAAATATGCTGAAGAATGTATTTCACTGCTCTTGAACATAGTACCCTTATCTGGCTCGTCGTAATGTTTTTGTCCTCTAAAATTTGATGTGAAGTCTAGGTCTCGTAGTCCATCGATATTACTAAACAATTTCGCTTCGTGTTCATCTAAATATCTGGCAGTATTATAATCATGCCTTCGTTTATCATCCCAGTTTTTGTGTTCAAATTCTGAATGTTTTAGCAAGGCTTTCTTTCTCCAGTTTCGTCTCTCATCGAAGAATGAATGCCTTTTAATGCCATCAATATCATCATAATCGAAATTACCCGATCTCGTAGCCAAAGCAACGATGTCATCTGTAATATAATTTTGGGCCTTGGCGTCATTATGTTGGCTTAAATCAACTTTAATATCTATTAAGGCTAAACACTTACATAACAGTAGTGCAAGTATCAATAACTTACGCATTTCGTTGTGTCAATGTAGATTCAAAATGGCGTACCTGTTTGGCTATTTATGTTTCAGTTTGTGGCGATACGGTCACAACCAATCAGTAAAATTCAGACGATGTTTGAGAAAAAGAAATCAAATTAAACAGGATGTGATTGCTTGTTTGAGTTGGTGTTGATTGTATTTTAAAACAGTAGTGGTATAAGCGTTATGCATTAACAAAGGAATTATTTGTTTACTAGTATATAAATATTGTATTTTTTATAACAAAAACTTATTAATATACTAACTAGGAAAACAAAGTTTTACAGTTATACTTGTAACATAATTAAAATTCTCACAACCTCTCTCTTTATCCTCTTCAACTAGAAGCGTGTTCTAATTAGTGTACAGTATTACATTATATGTATTACATAACTTGATAGCCTTTTTATCGAATTCGACTGAAAATAACTTATACGTAAATAATTTGTTTGTAAGAATTCGGAGGTAACTTATCCTCCGTGTACACCCCTAAGAAACTTTCTCTATGGATATACTTGTATGTAAAAGGATAATGTCCATGTTTTATGTTTTTATTTGAGTTCATTTATATGGGTTTTATTTAACGACAAATTATAAGTTTCTAAGTATTTAAATATGCTTCGAGGGCATTCTGTATCCATCACTTTGTACCAATTTTCTCGGTTGAAGTGCTTTTATAGGTGGTGGCGCAATCACTATGTTGAAGTAATTTCCCATTCTTGATAGTTCTGACGGTCTCTTGAACTCCTCTACATGGTTGGGAGGTACTTCGTTATCGAATTCTACCGCCATATCGTCCCCTTTGTCATATGTCCGTGATATTTTACTTCCAAATTTTGGTAGCGCTATTTTATCCGACTTTCTATTAGGAACCGGAATCCCCATTTGTGTACTGAAATGTTAATTGTATTAAACTTTGTTTCAAGTATTACACATTGAAAGCTAAAATTTCAAAGTTTATTCAAAGGTATCCTATGTTCACAATTATGAAAAGGATACACAAGGAAATGTGAATGTTAAATATTATGAAATGAAATTACTTACAAGGAGTAAGACTATATTCTGAGTACGGATAAATATTCACATATTCTTTAAATTACATTCATTTGTATTGTATGTTTATCTTCAAAATGATTGAAGAACTTTTATTCTATCTTGTTTATTGCTTTCGACCATACGCTTCTTTCACAGAAAAGCAGACAGTCCATTCCCAGTCGACTTACAAATGAGTCAATGTCTGTAGTGAATAACATCTAGATGAATAGAATCTTTACTTACGGTGAGCAATCCTGTGATAGCACACATTGGTGTGTGCGATCATCACGCACGTAAGGCTCTTCGCACACGCATCCAGGTTCACAGTACGGATAGCAGGGGCGAAGGTGATTGCGTGGGTTGTCACATGATACTTCTGCACAGCCGCCGAAGCATGCCTCGAATACCTCGTTTGGCCAGTAACAAGCTGGTTTCAATATTCATAGATTAACAAATTTTCTAGTAACTACAAATTTGGATTTTGTTCTGCTTAAAAAAACTTAATTCGATCATATTATCATATCGTAAGTTGTGGTTTATATGATTATCTAAAACACATTCCATGTCCTAATATTATTATTTGGTAATCTTAGACATTTATAAAAATATATTTAATTCTGCCAACTTGAACGGACATCGAATTAGATATACCTAAATACATAAGTACTACTTACTATAGAATGTATACTTAACTTAGTAAACATCGTTGTATACTCACATACATATTGATGTATAATCAATGTCTACATAATATAATATATATTATATCATATATACCTACTTAGAAAATGTATAAAATTTTAATAGTTAATAAAAGATTTCAAATATATTTTTTTAGTAGATATATTTATAAATTAAATCGCTAAGTACCTAGTAGATACTTTGTCTTTGTGCAAATGCTGGACGTTAAACTAAGAAGGCATTAAATCTAGTTGTGGACACTTCACTTTCTTAGTTCTTTTTATAGTCGTTTCCACAGGTCCATTACAGCTCCCGAGGGAGCCTCGGGGCAGCCTAGACTAGCTCCCGTAACTTTAAACTCACGGTTAAACTCACTGAGCTAATAATGTTATATATTCTATATACATATATACCAAGTGCTCTGTATAACATGAATAATTTAAAATAGTAACAATCGATATTCTTGCTATTTTTTAAGATTGTAAACACTCCCTTATTTTGAGAACAATATAATATCATTAAACATATTGCTCTTTCTCAATATATATTTCAACTGTTTTATTGCATGTAGGTATTTTATCATATTCTTTAAATAAGAAAATAGACTGAAAATAAAAGACAAATCAGTTCTATAATATGTCCCGTAGAATAAGGGTGTAAGTATTACAAAAGTCTTGTTGCCTACATCCATAAATGTATTAATTAAATATTTTGTATTTGATTAGGATCTGATAGTAGGATTTGATAGTAGATATAGTTGCTCTAAAAATCTTTAGAAAGTAGAATAATAAAAGGTGCAATTTATTAGATACTCACATTTCATAATTTTTTCATCATCCGTGCACATTCCGAGTTGACAAAAATAAGTCAGGATAAAAGAAATGGACAGAGCTCTTATCGGTATGCCCTTCATGGTTGCGCTATACGACTAATTCACACAGTCACTTCGTTATAACTAAATTTCGTTGGATATTCTACTTTGTTATATTCGGTACAAAGTTTATTTTTCCATTTGCTGCGTTTCATCATAATTAATATAGCGCCAGTACGTGTAACGTGGAAGGATAAGGTCTTCATTGGAACGTGATAAGGGTACGTGTTTGGTAAACATGGAGAGGAGAACCTGGTTAAGCCGCGTTTGATTGAATTATTGCTTGCCTTTTGATGTGGTTACATTTAGACAAAATATTCATAACTATTTTATGTTTAAAAACAATTATTTGTGCATTTTATAAATCTTATTTTATAGAAAGCTATGGAGGACAAACTTGACTTAAAATAAATAATTTGTGTCTTACCTTACACAAAATTAGTTTATTGTTTTGGGTTACAAATTATCAATCAGTTAGTTTCAGTTGTCAATATAATTTGCCTAATAAAATGTTGTTAAAAAATTAGCTTAACTAAAAGGAGCTGAGGTATAATGAAGAATATTACGAAATGGAGAAAATGTGACCCAGGTGAACTTGCGCGAGTAACTTAGTCTCCAATACTTTAGAAGGTCAATATCATAGTAGTGAATGACACTTTTAACTTATTATTTACAATTAAATAATGCTTATAATGATGCATTCTGAGAATAGAATATTATAGAAATAATATTTCTGGTATAATTAGTAGATATGTAACAAAGCTTATAATTAATTACATTAATAAATACATGGTAAATATACAATAAAAAAAAAACAAAAATAATAATCTTTCTTCAAATACTCAGTGCAAGCACTTTTGAATAGATTCAACACAAGAAGGCAGGAAACTTGTGTATTGCTCTTTTGAATATTTTTTTTTAATAAATAATTACACAATGAGAGATAAGAGGCATGCGATAATGGAAAACATGGAAACCGCTACACACTCATTCTTAGCGTAATCAGATTTTAGATCTTACTATTTTAATACTTCTATACCTACCATATCAATATATTGCCTAATTTATTATTAGAAAATTCTATCTCTTCTATAATATCTTATTATAAGAATTTCAGTAATACGTTTTTCATAACATGGGAGCATTCTATAATAATTTCTGTTTATTATTTGTAGCCTATCCTTACATTAGGCATTATTGTAATACAATTTGTACATTTGGGGTATAATCATGTAACACATGTGCTAAACTACATTTTGAATGTTACCGGGATGTAGCAGTTGTTTCGAGGATACGTAATATTCAAGTGTATTAAGTAAATATTCAATTTTATGGAATGGAACCTTTTTACAACAAAAGAATCAGTACCACCTGCATTTTATAGTTGTAAAGTATGAGAAAATATATAATTTAGTGTATGTAAGAGTATTACACAAAATGTTAGGATTCGGGATCAACACAATAAAGTTGCATGATGTTATTTAATTATATTTTGTTCAACTGTTAGATGCCCTTGTAATTAAGTCATACAATATAATAAATGTTAATTGAACGAACTAAAAAAAATATAATTGTAGATGACAGATTGTACTTATCTATGAACAGGATTCATTTATAACTTTAATAATTAATGCTAATATTATGTCACAAATAATAATAACAACCCTGATTCACATAGGGTCATTTAGTTTGTTAGCGTATATTATGGATACTAGACAACTGATACAAATAGTTTAATACATTTTTTTGTACATACATACATAGAAAACCAGATCAATACAAACAATAATACTCGTGAATACAAAACAATATCGAAACAAATGTTTGCCTCGTCCCTAGCCCGGTGCAAACATTGGTATTCATATCGAACCCGCGACCATCGGAAGTAAAGCGGTGTGATAAACTACACCACCGAGGCCGTATCGTGGTAAGTATCTATTTAACAACTCTAGTAAAATGTCTTATTTATTTGGATAATAAATATGATGTTGCCACCTCAGTATAAGGCTACTTATCTTATAGGTATACTTTTACCAATATTTACAACTTGTACCCGTTTATTTACAAGCCCAGACGCTGCGAGAGGCTGGGCCGGAGCCGGGTAAGTAATAAAAAAGATCGCACGCAATCATATTTTATCGGGAGAGCTATTTTTCGCAGGCGGATCTCGCTCCATCCGCAACGTTTATATGAAATACCTCAATTTCCCTCCAGCTACATAAAACGACATGTTAACAATAACATTGTCATGTTATATTTATAGATATTTGGATCATTTTTATTATGTTTAGTATAAAGATTTTTTGACATACTTAAATAAATAGGTAGAACGAAAATGTAAACAGATAAAATGTTCCCGTCTAAAAAAGGACAATATAACATAAAAAATACTATCGTAATTTATAATTATGGTTTGAGTTAAATCTTTTTGCACAAGTTGTTAAATTAAAATCTAATAAATTGGTTATAAAACAAGCGTGAGTTGGTTTCGTACACCGTGGTTTCGATGGGAACTTTTTTTATTATCTTTATAGATACTTTACAGTGACAGTACCAGGGATAGAATAGCGAATCCTTATGTAGTGCCCCGTATATTATTTATATATGTTGATTATTACGATTATCATTATTTATAATTTTTAAATATATTAGAAGCTTGATTAAACATAACATGATTATATTTATTTTATCTCACTGCTTCGTATCATGTGCTTATCGGGTATATCAACTGATATCCACTTGACAATAACGGTTACCCTAGTCTATATACCCCAGTTCATATATTGCCCCAGTCTATGTAAATACGCCTGTACAAGGGGTACCCAATCCAAAAAAACTCTAGCAATCTTATTCACCTACTGTCAGCAAATAAGACAGCCTCACGTGTCCTGATAAAGAGATGTTCAATAATGAGCGTTATTGCAGCCTCCCACAGCTCTCGAGGGTGTACTTCGTCCTTTGCCGTTACTACATTTCACCGTCTTTTGTTTGTTTATACAATATCGTATTTAGAATGTTGACGTTGTTCTATCAAACACAACCCTGCTCTCAATTGGTTTTATGTATTATTTTCGGTCGGCAACTAATCAATGTGTGAACACTATTTAATATTTTATTAATTTCTCTTCTAATGTTATTATTTATCAACATATTTTCTAAAAGAAATTAACAGGGTTTTTTCTGATAATATACGATATTGTAAAAAAGCGGTTTCGCGTGGGACTAAAACGAGGTCATTGTGTTGATGTAAAAATATTTGCTACCTATACTAGGTGTATAAGTATGAAAGAGGATTTTTCTTAAAAGTCCCGCCAAAATCGCTGTGGTCTGCTTACGGTGCTGAAACTTATTATATGTTGTTGTTGAGGAATCCGACTACGAGTTCCAATCAAAAAGCCGCCACTTTTGCATTTAGATAATTTTTATATTACCGCCGAAAATGGCTGGGTACATGCCGTCAAGTGAGGTTCAGCGGGGAAATCTTCTATTCTGTTTTTTTTACACAAGACCGCCGAGGAAGGTCACCAAATGCTTGTGGAAGCTTACGGCGATTATGCCCTATGCCGCACACAATGTTTTGAGTGGTTCAAGAAGTTTAGAGCGGGTCAGTATGACGTAACGAACCAACCGCGTGGAAGGCCCTCAAAAAAGTTCGAAGACGAAGAGCTGCAAGCGCTGCTTACAGAAGACCCTTGTCAGACACAGAAGATGCTTGCAGAGCAACTCAGCGTGACCCAACCGTGCCTCTCGCAACGCTTGAAGGCGTTGGGAAAGATTCTCAAGTTCGGGAAGTGGGTCCCACATGAATTGAGCGAAAGACAGATACAGCGGCGAGAAACCACTTGTCAGATGCTCCTTGCCAGGTTCGAAAGGAAAGGATTTCTGCACCGGATTGTAACTGGAGATGAAAAGTGGATCTATTTCGAGAATCCTAAGCGACCTAGAGGTTGGGTTGATCCAGGTACTTCGGTGAAATCAGCAGTGAAGCAACATCGTTTTGGAAAAAAGACCATGATTTGCCTTTTTGGGGATCAGAAGGGTCTGGTGTACTACGAACTGCTCGAGCCTGGCCAGACGGTCGACCAGGTTCGTTATCAACAACAAATGAGAGGTTTGACCGCAGCTCTGCTTGAAAAACGCCCGGAATGGCAGGAAAGGCACGAGGGAAAAATCTTGCTACACGACAACGCCCCGGCTCACAGGACAAATGCGACAAAAGAAGTGCTCGCAGGACTCGGCTGGGAGATTCTACCCCACCCGCCCTACTCTCCAGACCTTGCTCCATCCGACTATCACATTTTCGCATCAATGGGCCACGCATTGTCTGAGCACCGCTTCGCCAATTTTCAAGAAGTGTCAAAATGGGTCGAAAATTGGTTCGTGTCAAAAGGTGAAGAATTCTTCCGCCGCGGAATTCGAAAATTGCCCGAGAGGTGGGAGGCTTGTGTGGCTAACGAAGGAAAATATTTCGAATAAAATCGCCCCTATGTGTCTAGAGTATTAAACAATAATTTTTTTCAAAAATCAGTCCGGTTTCATATTTATACACCTAGTACATAGCAAAACACCGTCAAATTGAGAGCTTTCCCTTTATTGCAGTTCGTTTAAATTAGAAAGAGAAAATACAAATGATACTTTTTGTATCAATAGTTTTAGTTCAAATCGAAGTCTTCTAATTCAGCACAATAAAAAAAAGTTTAAGAAAAACAGAAGTTGCCAATTGGAAGAAAGTTGTTGGTGAGATTCGTTTCTCAAGAAGTTTCGAGGAGCGCTAGAATTCTTTAATCGAGAATGTTATAAATAGTAAAAGTATGTGGGCATACTCAATAAATTATTTAACGTTTCAATGTCTATACTAAATTATTCCTCTTCTTTACAACAGTAATTTGTTGTTGAATAATTCTGTATACGGAGTGATTATGTGAGAAAGTGAGAGTGAGAGAGTGAAATTAACAATTAAGTAAAAGATTTAACTTTGTAAATGTTTATATATTTTTTTAAATAATTATACGTTTCTCATATATTACAAAACTTATTACTAA